TCGCAGATAACTAATTTAGCTATAGCTGAGTTTTTAGTCTGAGCTCTCATTCTTGCATATAGTTTATATAACCTTTGGTTTCATATAAATTAAGTTGTTACTATGTAATTACTTGTATAAACTACTCAATAAAGATATGTGCAAGATCATATCTTAATATCAAAAAAAAAAAAATAAAATAAAAAAATAAAATTATTTTATATATATTGCATAACAGGTAGAGTTTGAAACATGCTTTAAATATTAAATATACTCTTAGAGACATAATCTGGGAGGAGAGCATGTATTATAAACATGCCTTTTTATACTCATGTAATAATAGACTAATTATAAATATAAAACTAATAATTAAATAGAAAAAAATTTTTTTTTTTATTGGATCTTTTTTTTTATTAGTTTTTTGATAGTCTTGTCAAACCTCAAATACAAAATGTTTTACTGCTACTGTCTACCTAAATAAACTAAGCTAATAAACTAACTTCTAAAATTGCAAGTCTAGTATCACTCAGCTACATTTAGTGCACCAGATACAACCTGACACACTGACTCACGTGTGAGTTAGGAAACCTTATCAGTTCATATCAAGAACTGAACCAAAATAGCACAATCCCATTTTGTATTATGTCTTCAACCCCTTTTTCAAAAACAGTTCTAATATTTGTTTCTTTTTCTTTGCACTTTGTCAAAGAAATACTTTCTTTGCTATGCTTCTATATCTTAACTACCTCCAAATCTTGCTTCGCATTATTTCTACATCTCTTCTTTTTGACTGAAGCTTACTTTTCACTTGTTGATATACCTTCTGCCTTTTCTCATACAGCTATGATTTCATACTGTCTCTGCCATATTTTATTATAGAAACTTTTTTTAGCTAGATTTATAAAGGCTGTCAGTATTAAATCTGCTATCTTGCTTGGAATATTCATTTTTTTGAACTTTATTTTGACTTCTCTTGGTATTAAGCCTCATATTTAACTTTTTTTTCTTGAGCATCTTTCTTCTCTACTAGAAACCCACAGGATTTTCTTGAGGATGTTTATAGTAAATGAACTTTCTTCTTTTTGTTTAACCTACTCTATGCAAATCTGTATATCTCCTCTTCTATTATGTTCCAGAAGTTTGTATACCTTTCGCATACTGCCAAATGGTTCATTAACTCCTTTTTACTACTGTATGCTATACAAGTATCTATTTTATATATATCTGGGCACCTTTTTCTAAGCTCCGTCAAGATGGGAGTCCTCTACCTATATACTTGATTCTAAATGCTATGTGTTTACACTTGATGTCTGTTGCTTCTCTATTCTGTTTTCAAAGCTTTGACCAATTGTGATATAGTGTATATGACTCTTTGATACCTCTTGTAGCACTTGCATTGTGCCACTCTTTTCCTATTCTTATACTTGACAGAAACTTTATAGACTTGCTTATTGGGGCCTGACTAGCTCCTCGTTCCAAAAAGCCATATATAGAAATTATACATTGTTTTCTAAATTGAGCTCTAATAGGCTTTGAAGTATTGTACCATCTTTGGCTAATCAGTTTGCTCTTTTGTTTTACTTAACTCTACTATATACTTTGACTTTGACTAGTTGTAAATCAATCTTCTTCAAGCTACACAGGTTTTTAATTTTTGTTACTAAACTGTAGTTCTTCTGCCTGCCCCACCAATGTGTGCTTATAAGGAGATTATTTCTGTCTAGACTTGCAATAGCTGCTGCATTGTTTGTATTGACTACTACTTTGCTATCATTCAAAACTACTAATACTACTATCAAAATAGGAGTGTTTTAGGCTTGGTTGACAAAGACTACTTCTCTATTATAATATTTCCTTTCTTAATAACTCTTGACTTACTAATGTCTACCTGTACCCAGCTTGCTTCTATTCTACTTATTTTTCTTTCTTTTACTAGTGACCTATCTGTGTAAAAAACATATTCCATGGCTTTCTCTGCTTTGTTCTTTCCCAAATGCTGCAAAAGTTTCTCTTCAAGATCTTGATTTAATCTTTATTGTTTGATAAGACTTTCTTCATGTAGGAAGATTTCTATTATATTTGTCAACTCTGTCTCATTATCATCTTGCCTGTCTGTCTCTTTTACCCTTCTATACCCCTCAGCCTCTTGGAGTACTTGTACTATATATTCTTCCTTGACCTTTTTCCCGAGAGATAATATACCAATTATATTGTCTTGCTTGATCCATGCTTCACATGTATCGACTTTTACTATCTTGTTAAAACCACATGTTTTACAAGTTGAGATAACTTTTGTGAGCTTTTTTTTCCCAAGATAGTTACCCAATGCTCTATTAAAACCTTTTTTTGTTCCTTTTGAATTATTTTACCTACTGTTGATAATTTGGTTTCTTTGTTAATTAATACCTATTTGTGCTTTCTCCTATCTCTTGATGGATCTTTCAAGCAGATTTTGAGAGATATATTGTTTGTCTTGTGTAATTAATATTGGCTAGCTACTTGTTCATATGTATTGATAGTTATTACTTTCTCTACTATGGCAAACCACCTAGCTTTTCTCCCTTTAGTTGTTTTAGATCATACTGCCAAGAGTTTGTTCCATGTAATTAGATAGATTCCACCTTTGTCAATTAGTTGATTTAAGAAGAATATATTGTACTTTTTAATCTGTTTATATTCTTTAGTAAAACATTTTCTATCTAACACTTTATGTATTGTTAGTTCTCTACTATCAATTTTCTACCTCTCTCTACTGGCTTGAATTGTTAATCCAAGCTCTTTTGCTTTTGCTAGCATTAACATGACTGGTTGTTTTTTCATAATTTTTTGAGTATATTATTTATTTTAATTAGCTACTAATCCTCGACTAACCCTGTTAACATATAACTATGACTTATTCTTACTCTTGTGATTTTATATACTTGCTCTTACTATTAAGTCTATTTTGTAAGCTAATTATTTGTCTACTTAATACTTTATTGCTAAGTGTTATACATTTGTCTAGACTCCTGTACATGATTAGAAAGTTATCTGCTGTTGCTAATAATCCTATTTTGTGTTTAATTAATCTAATTATTGGATAGTAGATTTTTTTTAGAGCTTGTTGTGATAGCTTATTTGTTTGGAACATATATGCCAACTTAGGCACTATGCATATGTTGTTTATATATATCAGTTGGCTAATTGTTAACTTCTTATACCACAGTGTTCATATAAAATTGTTGTCAGCACTTTTTCCTTTTTTGACTAGCAGGCTCTCTGCTATGCTTCTATTTAACCAAACTCCTAATAACTATGTTAGTGAATTTCTCTTTTCTAGAAGCACTTTTTGCCCTTTGATTGTTATACAACTTTGTTAAGTACTCCTTGTTTTTAGATTATATACTAGCAGTTTGGACTTTGTACTATTTATGCCTATGTTATTTGCTTTATAAAATCTGTGGGCTATCTGCAGCATCCGTTCCATCTACTCTTTACTTGTAGCTACCCATGTTGTATCATCTGCAAATGCAATTACTACTTGGCTTATCACCATCTTGCTCCACTTGTTTGTTTTCAAGTTTATTAGCTTACTTGTGACTACTTTGTACCCAAGGCTACTATCTTCTTGTACTCTTTTTAAAAGTGGATCGTAGTAATAGCATTTCTCCCTGCTCTATGCCATCACCTGCTATAAATGTCTCTGTTGTGCCATATTCAGTAATTACTTTGATCTGTCTCTTGTTAAAAAGCTTGATTATAAAGTTAATTATTTGTTTTGGAAGCTAATAAAAAATAACGGGAATGAAATTTACATATAGAAAAGTCAAATTATCACTAAAGCTCACAACCCTAACGCTAACCATAACGTCCTAATCCTAAACTTTATTAGTTTATTTACAAAATTCGATTTCCTTTTTTGGGTTTGTATCACTCGCAAAGATAGAGTTTGACCATTGGAACCCGACAACACTCTACGCGAGAATTAAAGTTTCAAGGGGTAGCGATACATTGCTATGGCGATAAAAAAAATTCCTAAATGATTTTATGCAATAAATTCGTCGTATTATCTGTATAGCGGCAATATCATCACTAAAATCAAGGCATCCTCATGGTCAGTTATATTATTCCTTTCCGTACAGTTATTAAACTCGGCTAAATTAAGTAACTTCATTAAATTAAAATAGCGTTAGGAAAACCAGCTATTGAAGTTTGGCCTGAATTGCATACTTTGATTCCAAAATTAAACAAGTATTTTTACTATTTATTAAGCTAATTAATTTTTATTCATAAAATATTTAAATAAGTTTATGCATTTTGATTTATACAGCGTAAGAGCATCAGGAAAAGGCTTACAAGGATATGATTATTATTTAGAACAACAACGTGATGGCTATAAAGAAGAAACATACGTTAACTGCTCATTTAGTCCAATTTATAAATTAGATGGTACAGTATGGGGTGTAATTAATATAATACCTGAAGTCACTGAAAAGGTCTTAAACAATCAAAGATTAATAACTCTTGGGAACCTTTCTCTAAAGACTGCTGGTTAGTAATAGTTTGTGAATATCACGACGTTGTTATGTATTTATTAACACGTCTGCATGGTTTAAGGTGCCGAGTACTTAGAAAGTGCATGCAATATTATAATGAAAACATTACAAAATAATAAAGACATACCGTATTCACTAATTTATCTTGTTGAAAATCATGATCCAAAAAAAGCTGGCTCCAAATCTCTGATTGCTCGTTTAGTTGCTACAACCTTTGACGAAGTCTGTAAAGAAGAGTTTATTCATGGAAAATTAAAAAGATATATTCCAGATTATTTTCCAGAAACACATGAAACAGTTGATTTAACTAATATCACTGATGATACTTATATAGAAGCAAAACTAACAACATCAACTTATTCGTTTTTAAAATGTAATTCTTGGCCCATCCATCTTGTAATGAAGGAAGAAAAAAACATTCAA